GTTGTCTCGGATTCTCCAGCATCTGCAGTTCCTACTATCCTTAATATACCATAGTCAGTTTAATGCTCCAAGGTTATACCCTTAAGTTTTATACTTAACAAATGATAAAATTCCTTTGGTACAAATGGCAGACTTAACCAATGGGCTAACCAGAATAATAATGCATTTCCTTTGAAAGAAGAGCCAATTTTTCTCATGAATTTAAATTGAAGATAATCTTACAGGTTAAGTGGAAATGAATAATTTGCTTTGCCCAACATTCCAGATATTTTTGGTACAGTAAGTCAATGTAAATCCCATTGACATGAATCTGTGGAAATTCCAGAAAAGAATATTCGAAACTCATCTGCAGGTGAATGTAGGACATGAGTAGCCACCTGCAAGACAAGAATAAGCTTTATCTGCAAAGGGTGAATAATGGCAAGGAAGAAAATCATTGAAGCAACTAAATACAATATGCAGAGCTAAATGCAATGGAGTATTTCTTGATGAAAGATTACCAAAGAAAATTTATAATAATGCTTTTATCTTCAAGACTGGAACAGCTGCAGAAGAATGCACTTAGGAGGCAAAGTTTCTGAGAGATATGGAGGGAATTTCTGTGGAGTTAGGGAAATATCGGAAGATTACCTTGGAAGCACCCACTAGCTTCTAGGCTGCACAAAGGAAGCCATTCAGCCAATCATGCTAGTCTTAGCTCTTTGAAATAGCTATCTAATTACTTGTACTAATAACCCACTGAAATGTTTACCCTTTCATTAATAGGGTGTCTCTTTAATATTTAGTGACTTACTTTGCAAATTATTTCAACTAAGAATGCATAGTGCTACATATGTATAGTACAGCATTTCAACTCGCACATTGCCTTTTTCCAAGTGAGAAACGTGCAAAGAAACCTAAATCTGACTATAACATTAAGTGAATCATCGATTCATGGGCATCAAAGTTATTACAGTTAAAGTTGTGCTTTTCAAGAAAGCAATCATAACTTTAAGTAAGCACTTACTGTAGTTGAAGAAATGCTCAACCTTGTTTATTATTTTATGAGCCATAAAATCTCAATTACTTTAAAAAGAAAATGGATACAGTGTTCTTGATCCCATAATTACATATTAAACATGTTGACTTTTAATGGTGCTGCTTCGAGAGTAAATGCCCAGTGTTCAGATTAACCATAGTAGAGGAATTAAAGACAGAGTTAGAGACAAAGGCTAACATTCTAACATAGATTCGAATACCAGCAATGGTGAAATTTGAATTAAATTAATAAATCTGGAATTAAAAGTTAGTCTAATGCTGACCATGAAACTATTATCAATTGTTAGCAATCAACTATAAAAGGCAAGTATCTCATGTGTTGTTGAAGGTCAATCATCTCAACCGTAGGTCTTACATAGGAATTCCTACAGTGGTGTTCTAGGCCCATATACCTTCAGCAACTTCATCAGAGGTCTTCCCACCATCATAAAGATCAGAGTTGGGGATATTGGTGAAGAGTGCACAAGGTTCAGCACCATTCATAACTTTTCTCGCACTTGAGCCAGTTCAAATGCAACAACATTCAGGTTTGGGCTATTAAATGGATTGGGAAACCGGACCTGTAATCTAGAGGCCCAGGCTAATGTTCTGGGGACAAAGGTTTGAATATCTCCTTGGCAGATGGAGAAACATGATTTCAAATCCAAAATAAAAAGCTAGCTGCATAATTACCATGTAACCACTGTTGATTGTCATAAATATCCATCTGGTTCACTAATGACCTTTAGGGAAGGGAATCTGCTATCCCTACCTATTCTGGCCTACATGTGATTCCAAAGCCATGGCAATCTAGTTGACTCATTTATGTTTGGACAATAAATACTGGCGATGCCCACATCCTATGAAATAATGATATTAAAAGACTAAAAGTAACATTTGCACCACACAAGTGCCAGCCAATGACCATGTCAAACAAGAGAGAAAACCAGTTATCTCCCCTCAAACATTTGATGAAATTTCCTTCACTGAATCTCCCACTATCACCATCCTGGAGGTTAACACTAACCAGAAACTGAACTGGGCCAGCTACCCAAATACTGTGACAACAACAGGTCAGAGACGAGGAATGCTATAAGTGAATTACGCACCTGCTGACTCCCAAATGGTTATCTACCAGCTACAAGGCAAAAATAAAAAAAATCAGGAGTATGATGAAATGCTCACTACTTGCCAGGATGAGCGCAGCTCCAACACTCGAGATGTTTGACGTCATCCACAATAAAGCAGCCCGCTTGACTGTCAACCCATCAACGTTCAGACAGTGACATCAATGTGCAACAACTCACCAAGGCTCCTTTGATAGAACCTTCCAAGCCCACAAACTCGAGCAACTAGTAGGCAACAGCAACAGATACATAGGAATACCTGTAAGTTCCCATCAAGCCAAACACAATCCTCATTTGGAAACATATAATCATTCTTTCACTGTTGTCAAGTCAAAATCCTGGAGTTGCCCTACAACAGCACTTAAATCACCTAGACTGCTGCAGTTTAAGAATGAAGCTCACCATCACCTCAAGACAAGATATTAGAGGTGTTAGGACGCTTAAAAGTGGACAACTCTCCAGCTGAATTGCTGTGGGAGGCATGGAAGGAGATGGCAGTGCACTGACCCAAATTTTTATTTCCTCTCTGGCCACAGGGGAGGGTCTGGAGAACAAATTTAAGTTATGAGGCAAGGTTAGATAGGTTTGGGTTGTTGTTGTAGGAGCAGAGAAGACTGAGGGGCGATCTGACTGCATGGACAGAGTGCATAAGGAGCAGCTGTTTCTCTGTTTCAGCTGTTTAGCTGAAGGGTCAGTCATGAGGGGGCACATTTCAAGGTGAGGGGTAGGACAGAAATGAGGAAAAGCTTTTTTAGCCAGAGGACGGTGATAGTCTGGATATGCCTGGGAGGGTGGAAGAGGTGAATTGCCTCACGTACTTTAAAAAGTACCTGGATGAGCACGTAGTAGGTCCTAGCATTCAGGGCTATGAGCCAACTGCTGGTATATGGGATCAGGTTGAAGCTCTGGTGTTTCGCACGTCAGTTCAGACTCGATGGGCCAAAGGGTCTCTTCTGCACTGCATGATTCTACGATTTGGTGAAGATCAGTTAGGTATGGGCCATAATTGATTATCCTGCCAGTGATGCTCATATCTCATATTAAAAGTTTCATCTGAAACAGGGAGACCAAAAGTAATTCAATACCATTTTGAAGACTAATATTGTCTTCATGTTGACACGTCTAGTGAGCCTTCTGTAGTGTTGGCTAAATGTAACTGACTAAGTGCAGTCTTCAGGTCAGGCTGGATCGTGAGTTAGTAAGCATGACACTGCAGCGGATAGGGATTGGGCTGGGAAGATGGAATGCTAGCTTTAGAAGCAGTGAAACTCATCCAGCTCTAATCGGAGATTAGAACCCTGCTTGGGTTAGGACAGTGGAAAGTTTATATAGCACTGCTGTTCAGTCACCTTCAGCTCCCCACCAAACCGTCTTTAGAAATTGGCCAATAACCAAAAAGCTGCCTACTGGGTGAGTGAGGTAGGAAGAGTTATGGATATTATGTGGTAAGGCTGAGCAAATTTAATGTGTCTTTATCCATTTTAAAACCTTACCTTGGTTTGCTAAATGGACAAGAGTAAGGGGTGAATGTGACTAACAATTTTTGGTTTTGGGATCAATCACAGAGCATTCATGCTGGAGGGCAAAAAAAAGGAGAGAACATATGGATGGAGGGTGATGTGCAGAAAGGGAAGAAAAAGTTATGTAGACTTGATATGGGATTAATACAGAATAGCATAGTGTAACAAACAGAAACACTGTACTACATTCTCTTGCTGGTTACAAAATTGCAAGCTTTACAAAACAATCTGCTGACAGTGATATTTAGAGGAAAATCACTTCCCCATAAAATTGGAAATATCCAAGAGAGGTCACTCCTGGAACATTAATCATTCTGTCCTTTACACATACAGGCTGCACTTCCAGCATTTTCTCTTCTTTCAGATTTCCAGCAAATTTTCGAGTCAACTTCATCAGGTTTTGTTCCTGAGCTGAGGAGCTGAACACCTGCAACTTAAGGTCTTGTATCCTGACAAGTGAGTCCTTGAGCACATGAAAAATAGTCCATTAAAGAGCTGACATTCTGCAACTCCATGTTATGCATACATATGGAAAATAAGTTAATATTTTTAGGCTTATTTCGGCAGAAACAAACATTTCAAAATCTTAGACAACAAGGTGCAGGGCTGGATGAACACAGCAGGTCAAGCAGCATCATAGGAGCAGAGAGGCTGACGTTTCAGGCCTAGACCCTTCATCAGAAAATCTTTCTGCTTTTTGAAGATGGTTCTTATTCTGCACCACAAATTCTTATATTTGACAGGTAAATAGCCATTTGAAAATTAAAGATTTAATTTTAAAAAAGTACATTCTCAAAACAAACCTGTTTTGGTAGCACAGGAACTTAAATTGTTGCTTATGCTTTTTTATCTTGCAACAGCAGCAATTTCAAACTAATCTAACAATTTATATTACAGGAAAAAAGGGCACCAATTTGTAGGACTTGGTAGTATGTTTCAGCTGTTGGCTAATTGAATCACACAGTATGCTTTTTTCATTGTTTGTAATAGCATAAGTACAAAACTTACTCCACAAGCCCACACTTGCAAAGCCTGAAAAATTGTTACACAGTTGGAAATGATTCTGCGATTGGGTGGTGTTACAAAGGTGGATAGAGTAATGGGGAAGTGGAAGGCAGGAAGCTAAAGTGTGTGGCTCCTTTAAAAGATTTGTCCTTTGTCTGTACTTAGAAATTTTTAAAAAATGCATGTCTGTGAGCAGCAGCTGAAGTTGCCAGTACAGAGAGCCTCACAAAGTGAAACAGGTGTATCAAAAAAGCCTTACAGGTAGCAGGCAAAACAGCAGTCTTGTTTTGATAACAGGATGATTAGCTGGATGAACACAGCAGGCCAGGCAGATCAGAGGAGCAGGAAAGCTGACGTTTCACGTCTGGACCCTTCTTCTGAAGCTTTCCTGCTCCTCTGATGCTGCCTGGCCTGCTGTGTTCATCCAGCTCCACACCTTGTTATCTCAGACACCAGCATCGGCAGTTCCAATATCTCTCAGTCTTGTTTTGATGTTGTGACGACAAGTTTGAATTCAGCCAATTAATTTAAATAAAGCACCTAGAAAGCCAATTAAATTTAAAATAGGATGGTGTTGACAACCTGAAACCAATCATATAATAAGAATTTGATTATGTCACTATGGGCTTATGGAAAATCATGGAAAGCCATCTGCCAGAGAAACCCCATCTAATTAATCAAAGGTACAATGGTATTTTAGCTCAAAGTCCTCACTGAAGAAATTATAGAGATAAAACATCCCTGACAGCAGAACTAATAGAAGAAAGTAAGTTATAATTTATTGCTTCTTATTAGTTGAGGTTATATTAGTGGGACTGGTCTTTATTTAAACAGCATTCCAGTAGAATTTAGACCAGTTGGGAAGTAGTTAGTTGTATAGGGGGAATTGTGGATTTGTTAATAATCTTGTTAATTTGTTCATTGTTGGGTTATATAAATAAATTGTTTCTTGTTAATTGTAAAGTGGAGGTCAAGGATTTTCTTTCTTTTAATAGATTATGAGGGGAAAGACAAGCTTCTCTGGGTGTTTAAGGGTAATTATTAGAGGCAAACTCCTATTCTTGTCATAGCAGATCGGGGCTTGTGTTTTAGTTTAATTATCAGAGGGGTTCGGCCATTCCATGTTATAACAGTGGCACCAGCACACAATTGAGTTTTTTTTCAATTCATTCACAGGGTGTTGACATGGCTGGCTGTGCCAGCATTTATGGCCCATCCCTAATTGTAAAGAGGTGGTGCTGAGCTGCCTTTTTGAGGCGTTGCAGTCCATGTGCTGTAGGTTGACCCACAATGCCTTCAGGGAGGGAGTTCCAGGAGTTTGACCAAATGACACCAAAGGAACACTGAAGTCTGGTTGGTGAATGACTTGGAGGAAAACTTGCGAGTGGTG